CCTCTAGCTTTGCTTATCATTGTGAACTATTGCTATGCATGCTTCTTGTGCTGATTACACCCCACTTTGGCTATGGGGGTGTGTCAGAATGCTGTATTTGTCTAGCCTGCAGTGGGGTACTCTATAGTGAGTACAGCCCAACTTAGGGTTTCCTATATGTACTCAACTGCTTGCTAGTGCAACCTCTCTTTTCTGCTTCTAAACTTTCTGCTCGTACTTTTGACAGCAGATGCTGTTCCCACGTGGTCGGGTCGTCACACGTGGCCCTGATGAGCTGTTCCATGGTCTGATTTGTCCGTTCTGTCTGTCCGTCGGTTTCGGGGTGGTATGATGAACTGAACTGCAGTCGCGTGCCGAACTGCTGCCACAGGTTCCGCCAGAAGTTGCTGGTGAATTTCGTGTCGCGGTCGCTGATGATCGCGGCTGGTATCCCGTGCAGTGGAACGACGGTGGAGATGAAGAGGCGTGCTGTTTCTTCGGCTGTGATTGATTTTTTGCAGGCTGCGAAATGTGTCATTTTCGTCAGTCGATCGACGACGACCAGGATCGCGCCGTTCCCACTCGCCCCGGCCGGTAACCCCGTGACGAAGTCCATTGTCACCTGCTGCCAAGCACGCTCTGGGGGTGGTATCGGGTGCAACTGTCCCACCGGCCGCTGTCGTGATGGTTTCATGAGCTGACAAGTGGGACACGATGCCACGTGTCGTTGTACGTCGGTCAACATTTCGGGCCAGTAATAAAACCGCTGCAGCTGCTGCCGTGTTTTTTCTACTCCGAAATGCCCCGAGGTAACTCCGTCGTGTGCCTCCTGTAACAGTAATTCCCGTAGTAGTGTATACCCAGGCACCCAAATGCGGTCAATCCCGGCTTTTACGTAATAGACTCCCCTTGCTGCTGCGAACTGCTGCGAATTTCCTCCTGTGAAGAATGGATCCGTTTGGTACCCGTGGGTAAATAGGCCTGTCAGTAGTGGGCTTATCTGGGCGAGTAGTATTGCGTGGATCTGGGCAGTGGAGCGGGTCAGTGCATCGGCGATGTTCGAGGCTCCCTTTTTGTAAGTGACCGTGTAGTGAAAGTTGGACCCGAGGAAATTGAGCCAGCGAATCTGTCGTGGGTTGAGGTGTGGCTGTGCGCGAAGGTACTGTAGTGACTTATGGTCTGTCCGTACTATCACGTCTGCGCCGGTCAAGTAACAGCGCCATACTTTGAACGCGTGCACGATCGCAAGCATTTCGCGGTCGTGTATCGGGTAATTTTTCTCGGGCAGATGCAGTTTTCGTGACTCGTATGCGATGGGCTGTAGGCCGTTGCCGAAGTCCTGTAGTAGTACGGCTCCGATGGCGATGTCACTTGCGTCGGTAACTACTTCGAATGGGCGGTGTGGGTCGGCGATGCGCAGGACGGGCGGTGAACAGAGAACATTTTTCAGGGCAGAGAAGGCAGCATGCTCTTTCCCCCCCCACGTAAAAGCGACCCCCTTTCGCAGTAAATCCGTCAGTGGGGCAGTTAACCGTGCCATGTCGGGGACGAACCGACGCACATAATTAACGAACCCTAAAAAGCTCTGCAGCTCCGTGATGTTCGTCGGGGGGTGCCACGCTTTTACCGTGTCCAGCTTCTTTGGGTCGATTTCAACTCCAGCCTCCGAAATCACGTGCCCTAAAAACTCTAACCTATTCTGGAAGAACTCGCACTTGGAACCCTTGGTCAGTAATCTGTGCTCGTCTAAAACCTTAAATACTGCTTCCAAATCTGCTAAATGCTGCTGCTTATCCCGACTGTAAACTAGGATGTCGTCGAGGTAAATTACCACACATTTATCTAAGAGCGGCCTAAACGCCTCGTTCATGGTCATCTGAAAAGTCGTCGGTGCGTTGGTGAGCCCGAATGGCATTACAGTGTACTCGAACGACCCGTACCTAGTCCTGAAAGTTGTTTTGGCGCAGTCCGATGGTTCGACCCTAATCTGATGGTAACCTCCCCGTAAATCAATTTTTGAAAAAACCCGTGCTGTTCGCAGTTGGTCGATCAGTTCGTCGGCGCGGGGAATGGGGTACCACGACTTGACTGTTACCCTGTTCAGTGCTCTGTAGTCGATACACATGCGAAAACCCCCGTCTTTTTTCGTTGTGAACAGTATCGGTGCGGCGAACGGTGATGAGCTCGGTCGGATGAATTTTTTCTCTAACAGGTAATCTAACTGCTTCCTTAGTTCGTCGAGCTCGGGCTGTGTCAGTCTGAACTGGCGCTGTACAGTTGGTTGTGCCCCCGGTTCCAATTTTATTCGGTGGTCATGTGCGCGCTGAGGTGGCAGCCCTTTTGGTAAATCGTCGGGAAAAATCCCGGGATATCGTTTCAACAGTTCCTGTAGTTCGGGCGGTACTGCTGCCAGCAGTTTCTTGAAATCACTCGGCTGCTCTGCTCCCTCTACTACTGCGATGTCTACTGCGTACACGTCAGCTCCAGCAGCGACAGCCCGTTTCATTGTGACGGCGTTGACATGTACCGTTGAAGACTCGGGCGACTGCCAGCGAGGTAGCTCGACCCAGTTACCACTACTTCGCACGGTGCAGCTACCCGTCGTCCAGTCAATTCGCGGGTTATACCGTCGCAGCCAATCACGTCCCGGTAAAATATCGTGCCCATCCAGTGTCGTTGCGAGCATTTCCTGTGTAAACCCGAAATTCCCCCCGCAGCGGACTTTGACTCTCTCTACCTTTTCCCGTATGGCCAGTGGCGTGCCGTCGACTAAGCGTGCGTCTATCTCCGGTAAGCAACGGCTAAGTGTCAGTTGCAGTTTTCGTGCGGTTGCGGTATTAACTAAACTGTGGCTTGCCCCTCTGTCGATAAAAATCTTCACTGCTGCTCCCTGTATTTTCCCGTGGATCAGTACTGGGCAATCCGTCGCTGTACCCTCCTTATTCGTCCGAGTCCGATCGATAGCATGAATCGGTACTGTGACTCGGTGAGGGTCGGTGGGGTTGGGCGAGCAGGCAGTCTCGTCAGTAGTTGGCCCGATTCCTACTGACTGCTGGCGTTTCCCTGCCTTGGAGACTCCCTCCCCTGCTCTGCTCTGCGGCGCCTTAGCTCCTCTGGGCATTCGCTCTTGCGATGGCCCGGCCTATTGCAAGCAAAGCAGCGCCCCTTAAACGGCGCGTCAGCTGCATTCGTCGCAACAGCGTGTACAGTGGCGTGCTCGATCGGTCCCCGAGGACGATGTCCATAGTAGGACCCCGGTCTCGGACGGCGTAAAATGTCGATTTTCTCGGCGAGCGCGAGAATCTCGTTGAAGTTCGAGAGCCCGCGTAGCATGATTTCGTGCGAGATGTCCGGCTTCAGCCCTCCGACGTAACGGTCCACCCGCTCCGCTTCGTGCATGTAGCTGACTTGCTCGCATAATGCGAGAAAACCACTCGTATAGTCTTGAACCGATCCGAGCTGTCGCCAAGTGCGCAATCTTTGACGTGCCGAAATAGAAGCCGCGATCGGCTCGAAGCGCGCCCGAAGCCCTGCGCACCACGCATCCCGCGTGCTGTATTGGGCGGTCTCGCAGAATGATCTCCAGGTGACAGCTGGACCCGTGGGCCCTTCCCTCTTGCGACGGTGGCTCGTAGGCGCGTGGCGACGTCACGATGACTCGCCACCAGTCCAAAGCGGGGCCCCTTAGCAGCGAGACGGCATACCGAATCTTCGCTGCGTCCGACTCGACGTAATTCGCGTCGAAGAAGACGTTCATCGTGAAGACCCACGATTGAACCGTCGGACCTCCACGCTGGCTCGGGTCGAAGCAGGGCGGGCGTTGCGGCTTGAGTGGCATTGGTGCCATAATGGTATGTTCGCCACTTGTCGCCGCGAACTCCACGTGCCGACGGGCTTCGCGAGGCTCCCGCGGGCTTGGTGCGACCCTGTTTCCTCCCATGCCAGGCATCGGCTGGGCGGCGCCATCGCTGGCTGCGCCTGAGCGCTGTCCCACGCTGTTGTTTTGTGTTGGTGTGCCGGACGAGATGACGATCGGCTCGTCCGATTGTGCAGATGCATTTGTCGGTGCGTGTGGTGGCGCTGGAGTGTTCATCGTTGATTGCTGACGCGCGGAGTCACGTTCCGCCGTGAGCTTCGCAATTTCGAGCGCCGAATCTTCAAGTTGGCGCACCAGACGGTCGAGCTGCTCCTGCGTCAATGTGGCGAGCGTGAATTCGGCCATGGCGGGGGTGTCGGGCGAGCTCAGCTAGAGCCTCGGTCGTGGCCGTGCGTGCTTACGAGAGAGCACTACGAGCGGCGGTGCTGTGTCGCTGAGAGACGTCTACCCCCCCCCCAAAATTGAGATAGTGGGGAAGCGAAGGTGTGGGTGCGGTCCGAGAAGAGATCGTAGGCTCTGAATACCGAGTGTTACGAGTGCAATTGAGTGAACGAACGAGAACTGCACTATCGAAGCAAGAGTACAATGAGCGAAGGCATGAGCGAAGACTATATAGCGAAACTACAGTGGTAACAGTAATGGACTGTGGTTATCGCGTGACGGGCCTGGGACTGAGGTTGGGAAAAGCGGGTTACCCGCCGAGCCGTGAGGTCGGGGTGCGACGTGCGAAGGTGGCGGGAGGATTGTCGATGTGAGGGTTGCGAGTGGTAACGGTGCTGACTGTGGTGCTACAGTGGTGTACGTGCTGAGCGGGGACGCGAAGTAAGGAAAAGGAATTTTCCTTACAGGGTGGGTTTTTTTTTTTTTATTCATACCCGCAGTGGAACTTGTTCACACAGAGTTAATACTGCAGATTGCATGCAATACATTACGATACAACAAATAGTGGTACAAAACTGAGATGGAAATGAACGGAGCCACAATGTGCAGTCTAGAACAGAAAAGTACCGTAGTACCGTACTCTAAGCTACGCTTGAAGATATGGAGGGGATTGCCTGCCATACGTTTACATACTGAGCGAGCGGCCGGACGGCGGACAGTAACAAATACACCTGCCAGAATGCAAACTGTGCAGTGCAGTGCACTATACGTAATCGCCTCCAACCGTTCCGGCGCATCTCCCTCCGTTGTAATAGTCGAACGCGTCGTCCACCTTCATGCCAGTGTTTCTATAGAAGCGGTAAGCACCGGAACACGGCAGCGACGGCTTCACTGGCTTTTGCCGGCCGTTGGTGCACCTGCCGAGCTCAAACGACCAGTACTCCGCCCTGAGGCACACCTGGGGTAGCAAGATGCGCGAAGAGGGGAAAGAAAGACAAGGTTCTCAGGAGGAAAGATGGCTGGTGAAGCAGAGATTAACAATAGCAGTTATGTCCTCCCAACTTCCCTCCCGTCCACCTATTCCCCCCACTGGCCGAGCTGAAGCGACCAGTACTCTGGCCTGAGACACATCTCGGGCACCAGAGAGTCAAGGGCCAAGAGGAAGAGCACGGAGAATTCTTGAGGAAAAGGATATGAAAGGCAATGGAAACTTAACCCAACAAGGAGATATTGGATGCTTTCAAGTCCAGGACCAAACTGGTCTACTACAGTTGTGCCCACGTGACTGGAGAAAAATCATACTCCTGGATGGTACAAACCGTCACACACTTGCCCCCCAACTGCTGTATATCAAATTCGAGCTTAAAAAATGACATTTTGAAAGTCTAGTAAAGCACTTGGCCAAATCCCCAATGCCACCACACCTCACCCACTCAGCCCATAGACACCTCACCCCTCGCTTCTTCCTCCCACCTTTCCAAATGCTTGTACCTTTATCTTTTCCGCTTGTTCCTCTCCCGCCCCTTCCCCTCCCCCCACACCCTTCCACCGCTCACCTGCACACCAGTGTTGCTGCCAACAGCAGAGGCACCGCTAGGGATGGCACCCGAGCAGACAAGGCCGGGGTTGTTGCGGTAGAGCTCAGCCCAAGAGGAGGGCTCAACCTTCTGGTTGCCTGCCCCCTCCAGCAGTTTCCCACACGTGTCCTGCGCCGTGAGTGTGGCGTACTTGACACACTTGGGGACTGTGTAGGCATAGCTGGCGTTGCGCTCCACACAGAGGGAGCGGCCGGGTTTGATGGCTTGCGTGCAGGAGAGGCCTGGGTTGAGAGCCATGAGGTCGTCCTTGGTTATACCCATTGAGGAGGCGATGGAGTTACACTTGTCACCCTGGAGGGAGGAGAGAGACGGAGACACGCAGAGAGGAGATGGGATCCGGCGTGAGGTGGCGTGAGGTGGCGTGAGGTGGCGTGAGGTGGCGTGAGGTGGTGTGAGGTGGCGTGAGGTGGCGTGAGGTGGCGTGAGGTGGCGTGAGGTGGCGTGAGGTGGGGTGAGGTGGCGTGAGGTGGGGTGAGGTGGCGTGAGGTGGGGTGAGGTGGCATGAGGTGGCGTGAGGTGGCGTGAGGTGGCGTGAGGTGGGGTGAGGTGGGGTGAGGTGGGGTGAGGTGGTGGCAAATGGAAGGAGATGGTGGAAAGGGTTTTTGTTCATGGTGGTGACTTTGTGGTGATGGTTGAAGCAAATGACATGCGACGGGAGCGGCAATGGATGTGAGCAGCTAATGTGAGCAGATGGAGAACAAGGCAGCGAGACATTATGGGAAGACCACTCCCACCCATTGTGCACATCCCTAGATAGTGAAGGTGAAGGAAGAACAAGCATGGCAGGGGCCTTTCAGCAGGAGCTCACGTTGAGGGTGTAGAAGAATCCCGTGCAGGGGATGGCGGGAGTGCCGGCAATCTTGAGCACCGCCTCTTTGGGCAACGCCTGGGAACAGACGATATCCTGCAATGGAAGCATGGGCATGGGCGTGGGCGTGGGCGTGGGCGTGGGCGTGGGCGTGTGCGTGGGTGTGGGCGTGTGCGTGGGCGTGGGCGTGTGCGTGGGCGTGTGCGTGGGCGTGTGCGTGGGCGTGTGCGTGTGGTCTTTCTTTGAGCGAGCGCACTTGAACAAGTGCTGTTTTGAGAGCATGGGCAAGGCAGGAGCACTCGTCCTCAAGGAGCGGAGAAACAGCGTGAACTGATCGACTCTGGCTAACCCCATCCTCCACCTACACTTCTCCCATACCACCCCCTCCTGCTCATCCCATGCCCGCTACCCTGCCGCCATCCATGCTACCCTGCCATGCATGCTGCTGCGCCATGCATGCTGCTGCGCCAAGCTTGCCACTCTCAGCTGCCATATTCGCCAGCCATTCTCGCCAGCCCCTCACCGGGTTCTGCTGGGTGAACTGCGCTTCTGAGAGGCCCACGAGGCCATACACGTCCGCGCACGTCCACTTGTCGCCGCTCACTGTCAGGCTCGCGACTGTTGCGCTGGCTGGAAGGAGGCAGGAGAATGGTCGGGTGGAAAGAGGGGGCAAGGCAGGTGTGAAAGGAGGAGATAAGTTGGGCCGGTGAGTGCTGTGCCCCGGTCATTACGAGAGGCACCGTCATGGTAACGGCAAGAGAAGAGGAGTAGCGTTATGAGTTGGGGGAAGATCTACTGCAAGCAGACTGAAAGCTGCGGCATTGCAGCCAAACCAGAAAAAAAAAAAGCCGGAAGTGGGCGCGTGACTTGGCATATCTCACGACTACGGCGTCATTGGCACGAACAGAAGAGGCCAATGGCGTTACAACCGCAGCAGCACAAGGTTGGAGGCCAGAGCGAGCCTGATACAAGGAAGGAGGAGGAAGGGGAAGAGGAAGCACCTCGGTGGCTGGGGCGAAAGGAGCAACACGTGGGTGGCAGGAGGGGGAGGGAGCAGCAGTTGATGGGAGCGCACTTGGGTTGGGTGGCAGGTGGGGAGCAGCAGCGTTTAACCGTACCTGGGTGGCAGGGGACCGTACCTGGGTGGCAGGGGACCGTACCTGGGTCGCAGGTGGGGAAGTCATCGATGGTTCGGCTGGGGACGTGGTTGGGAGGGCAGATGCAGGAGTAGGAGCCCTTGCCATCGTTGATGCATGTGCCCACGTAGCAGGGGTTCTTGAAGTACGACCCGCACACGTCCACTGCCAGACAGGGTAAGAGGGGGTGGTAGCGGGGGATGAGAGCGGGGCTGAAGGCTAAAAAGGTGCCTCAAGCACAGCCCGTACAGTCCACTGCTATAATGCCACCGGTGGTGGGGGGGATGAGAGGAAAGGACATTTAAGTACTGGTGTTTCTTTAAAAACAAGCACGTGGATTTTGTGAGTCGCTGCATTGCATGGGTCTGTGTGTCTCACCATAGGCGCATGTGTTGCCATAGCCGTTTGCAACCTCCACGAAGGGCTGCTTGTCCAGAGAGGGGAGGCGGCAGTCGCAGGTGTTGCCGTTGGTCTTGGTGTTGGGCGTGCAGGTGAAGCGACCGCACGGGTTCATGCTGGGCTGCAAGTCACCATCGCCCTTGTAGCTCTTGGTACCACATGGGTCCCCTGGGACTGCCAGGCGACAACGAGGGCGGGGAATGAGATGTGAAGCATTGAGAACAGGATGAAAATGCGATATAGGTTCCTAGAATAGGCGAAGATGGAAAAGAGACTGCAGGCCACCACCAGGGCAGTGAGAGAGAATCATTTGCTCTCTAGTGCTGCTCGCTCTCTTATATGAATAGTGCCGCTCACTCTCTGGTGAGGATGGCTGAGTTTTGAGACAGGCGGATGGGCTTCACTCTAGGCTATGGGGTAGGTGCCTCACTCTTGACAATGGGGTAGATGCCAGGCAGCACGTTGATGCCACACACACCATCCCCTCCCTGAATGTCCATGCGCATGTGGCCCCTGTCTCCCCAGCCCTCGCCCCACAAGTTGCGGATGATCCAAAACGGCGGGGCAATGCGACTCTGACTGCCGTCATCTCTCAGAATGAAATATCCCACCACAAGCACCACGTGGTTCAGGTTGCCGCTGTAGCACGCAGGGTCCTGGTACTTGAACGTCTGGCATTCATCGCACGAATTCATCACATGTTAGCATCCATCACATGCAAGCATCCATCACATGCAAGCATCCATCAAAGAGCCAAATTCGCTATTGACAAAGAGACTACCAGGAATATGACCGACAACTGTCAGCTCAACATGGCTAAGCACAGCATAGCATCACACATCACACTGCATCACACCAATGAATACAGCATGCGAGGGTAATCGAAATATGCCTGCCCAACACTCAGCCCTCATGTCAATACGCCCAGCAGTGACCCAGCATCATATCACACACACACACACTGCATTGCACAGCACAGTAAATACGTGATATGCAAGTACACTCCCAGCAGCACTCACCCCGTCATATTTCGTAAACGTGGCAGCAGAGGCTTCGATGTGAACCACCACTGGCTGCCGCTGCACTGCCAGCATGAGCCCCACATACCCCTTGAAGGACGTGCGCTCAAATCCCTGGATGGGATACTTCTTCCCCTGCAATTCATAGAAGTGTGTGGCATTCGGATTATGCATGCCATAGATCAAGGAAATGCACTCGAATCTCTAAATAGGGTGCTTCTTCCTGTGAACAAGATGTGTGAATCTCTAAACCCCTGGATGGGATACTTCTTCCCCTGCAATTCACAAACGTGTGTGCACAGTTGGGACGTATGTGGAGATCTCAGGAGAACTATACTGTTAGCAGCAGCAACCTAAGGGACGTGTCTTGAGTCTACTCAAAAGAGATCCTCGGAGAACTATACTGTTAGCAGCAACTAAACGGGCAACAGAGTGACACTTGGAGTCAACTAGACTCAGCATCCCGGCCGTTTACACCAGCAGACAACCTTCTGTTTGTTTTGCTGCGCACAGAATTTAACGTGATTCTAGTGGGACATGTCAACAGCATCACCACCACCTTGTGTCGCAACCCTTTCAAAGCATACCGGGTTGTCGACCAGGCTGACGCCCCCTTTCGGCAGAGACAGCAGCTTCTCAAAGGCCTCTGTTGGGGAGCCCTCACCAGGGCACTTGTCGGGTTGAGAGGTGAGCCCCATGGCTGCAAAGAGCGAGTCCACTGACAGCTGCGGCGCCTCTGCATTCATTGCCAGGCCGTATGCTGCTTCTATGCTCGCCACCACTGCATACGCCCAGCACGCATCTGAAAGAGGGAGAGAGAGCAAGAGAGTCAGTCGGAAAAACGATCACTCGCGCGCACAGCACACCCAACCAATCAGAGCTGAAGCAGGTGATAATAAAAGTGTTTTGAGACGTCTCAAAACGATCACTCGCCCGCACACCCACCCAACCAATCAAAGCAGACCAAGACGAAACCACTGGCAGGCCATGCAGCCACGGCATAACCTTTATGTTTTTTGAGAATTCTCAAAAGGCATGACCTTTGCCCCATGCGGTGTCACTAGCCCCATTGGAGACACTCGGTACAGTCGTCCTTGTCCCCCCCCCTACCTGTACTCCACTCGAACCACACTGCCCCCTCTGCTGCCACCCACTGCAATCACCCGTTTAGGTGCCTCAAGTCCCTGCCTGGCCCCCACCTTTAGTCCAGTCCAGTCCAGTCCAGTCCAGCTCCCCTAGCCCCCTGGCGACTCGGCTTGGCACTCACTGCAGTCTGCAAACATCCTTTGAGGCGCCTCAAAACTCTTCTGAGCCCACCCCCACCTTTAGTCCAGTCCAGTCCAGTCCAGTCCAGTCCAGCTCCCCTAGTCCCCTGGCTGGTGGCTTGGCTTGGCACTCACTGCAAGCGGCCTGGTTCTTGACGGGCCAGCCGAGGAAGGGCACAGAGTCCCAGGAGTAGAGGTCCTTGAATGACCATGCGACCTGATTGTTGTTCGCCAGTTCACACTCCGCACTCACGTAGCGCGGGAAAGGGCTTGCCCGTGCCGGCGCATACGTGTCCACTGTGACACTCAGGCCGAATGCTGATTGAGTTGGAAAGAGGAGTAACGGAGAGAGGGCGGCACAGAAAAAGGTGAAGTGGAAAGGGAGTGAGCAGCAGCCTAGGAGATGCTTCAACGTGTTGAGCAAAGTCCAGGAATACGGTTAGAGAGAGAGAGAGCTTTTCGGGAGGTTTATAGGAGCGAAACGGAGAAGCAGGAGTTGTGGCAACACAAGCAGGCTGCAACCTTGTGAATCAAAGGCTTTTGAGCATTTAAAGCAACACCAATCAGCAATCAAGTGCGATGCCAAACGCTTCTGAGCATTGTCATATTAAAAAGCTTCGAGCAAGTGAAAGGAAAGATGTGAAATGCAAGGAAGGGCTTCTTGCCTGGAGTGACATCGACTGGCGCCCGTGGTGGCGGAATGTCTGTGGGGGGTCATTACAGGGGAACGGAGGAAAGGGTTGGCACAGAGCAAAGGGTTGAAACAGAGGAAAGGGTCTCTGAGCAGGTGCGGGACATGCACCAACCTGCCATGACCATCATGCTCTCTTACCCACTCGAGTACAAGAGTGTCCCAGCATGGTGCTGCATGAAAAGGCCGCTCTAAGTGCCAGGTAGGATGTGCGGCTTTTGAGGCACCTTGAAAGTCGCTAGTGTCAGGTAGGACGTGCGGGGGCACGGCGGTTGCTTGAGCTGTCATGCCAACCAAACCCCGTGGCAGTGGCGGCACGGCAGCAGCAAGTAGACTCATTCGCTGCGTGCGCGTGGCAGAACTGTGCGTTTTTTGAGACGTTGGAAAAGAGAGAGGCTCCTTACCTGCGTGCATTGCAGACTTGTGAATGACTTGGCTCATGAACGGCTTGACTGTGGTGGACGCCACAAAGCCAAAGTAGAACGCCTGCAGCTGCTCCTCCTCCCCCTTCTCTGGCCGCAGCACCTCACACAGATACAGCCGCCTCTCCAGCAGCGGCTTGGCTGGCTTCTCTGGTTCCACTGTCGTCTTTCCTGCCCTCTTCCCTGCACTCGTCACCGCCCCCTTTGCCAGGAAGACCTGGATGGTGCCGGAAAGCCCAGGCTGGTAGTCCACCCATGCCGTGTATGCCTGCTTGTTGGCCAGCGGGAATGGGGACTTCAAAACAGCAATGGACTTGTCCTGCCCGTTGATATTCAGCCCCACGTGCTGCTCTTTCATGTCGCCGTGCGGCTTGGTCTGAAGGACGTCAAACTCGATCGCCATGCTGCGAGGGTCCACCCCCCCGTACCCAACCCCAACGTTGGTTCCCACTGAATTTGTTGCCGACACGACAAACGCAAAGCCGTTGGAAGCCGCCTTGCCTTTTGGTGAAAGGGCAAAGGTGAAGTTGACGCTAAAGCCCAGCTCGAACCCGCACCCTTCGTCCTCCCGGCCTTTCTCAAACACGAACAGGGTCACTGGGTCTTCTGTAAACGCACCCTTGGTTTCCTTCATCGTTCCCTTACTGAGCACGGTTGCTGGCGGGAGAATTTCTCTGTCCACAGGGGAGGTTAGGACCGAGCCTGCATGGGAGTGTGGAGGATGGGAAGGACAGCGCCAGGGGGAGGGGGGGGAAGGATGGGATGAGGGACGCAAGCATACACATGTACCAATGAATGACGGCCGTTGTCATGCATCCATGTACCCTTTCACTCGCGCCCCTCCCTCACCTTCCGCAAGGCAGTAGATGCTTGCAAACTGAACGAACCCCGCATCACACAAGCAGGTGGGCGCCAAGCTAGGCCCGTCAGGGTAGCACATCCCATTGCCGCCACAGGCAGCAGCAGCAGAGCGAATGGAGATTCCACAGAACGCCCGGCAGGCTGCCTCAGGCCGCTGCTCCGCCAACCATGTGGCCCCTGCAGGGGACGCAGTGAAGCAGTTGGCTCCCAGCGAGACATCACTGGGTGGCTCAGTCAGAGTGCCTGAGAGGTAGTTGCTGGATAGGTCCGCGTTCACTCCATCAGGCTTCACCATGGGGCCTGTGAAATTGTTGTGAGAGAGATCACTGGGGGAGGGAGAGGGAGATTGAGAGGGAGAGGGAGAGGGAGAGGGTGAGGGAGAGGGAGAGGGAGAGGGAGGTGGCAATGGAGGCAGGAAAGGAAGGTTATGTGGAAGGAGATAAGGGAAACTTGCTAGTGTTTAGGCTCTGGCCTAAAATATGAGGTAAGTGTAGTGTGAGGGGTTGTATGTATGAGGGTGTGGTGTGGGGTGGTGAGTAGTGGTATGATATGAGCAAGTGAGAGCGTGTGGTGAGTGTGGTTGGAATTATGGTGAGAGTGTGTGTGTGAGCGTGCAAGGTGGAGTCCAAGCACGTAACGTGAGTGCAAGCACGTAACGCGAGTGCACGCGAGGGAGATTTGAGACGTCTCGAAACCCGAGAGTGCATGAGAGGAAGTGACGGAGTGCAGGCATGCACCTGTGAGAGAATGCATCTTACAAGGTTACTACACCAGCAAGGTTGGCAACGCTGGCGGGAATGGAGCCATACAGATGGTTCGACGCCAGTGACCTGCAGGGAGCCGCAATCGAAACCGTGGTGGTGATGGTGGTGATGGTGGTGGTGGTGGCGGCGGCGGCGGCGGTGGTGGTGGTGGTGGTGGTGGTGGCGATGGGGTGAAAGGAGAGGAATCATTGATGCATGACGGAGGTGAGTGAGAGGAGGTTGAAAGATAGGTGCACGACTTTTGAGACGTCTCAAAAGATAGGTGCACGACTTTTGAGACGTCTCAAAAGATAGGTGCACGACTTTTGAGACGTCTCAAAAGATAGGTGCACGACTTTTGAGACGTCTCAAAAGATAGGTGCACGACTTTTGAGACGTCTCAAAAGATAGGTGCACGACTTTTGAGACGTCTCAAAAGATAGGTGCACGACTTTTGAGACGTCTCAAAAGATAGGTGCACGACTTTTGAGACGTCTCAAAAGATAGGTGCATCCCATGCTGAAGACCCTCAGAGAGTATGCGGTACCAACCAGACTCGGGCAGCCCTGCAGCATAGGGCTATTGAGGCGCCTCAAAAGTTTCCTCAAAGAGTATGCGGTACCGACCAGACTCGGACTGCCCCGCAGCATAGGGCGCAGTTCTATTATCCTTCTCACAGGGTGCGTTTCTGGTAACCGTTACGCTTCAGTACAGAGGCACCGATTGCGATTTGGAAAAGATGGGATCTGCTTGATTAACCAGCTGTGTAACAAAGGACAAGAAAACGTGACTCCTGTTTGCATATATACACCCGTATGCGGGATACAGATTGTTACCACTGGTTCGCTCATGATTAGAACCCACTCATGGTTACCACTCACACATGGTTACCACTCGCACATGGTTACCACCCACTCACAGTTACCACTCACACATGGTTACCCTCCTTCTTGAACACCACTCACAGGCTCACTAAGTTGACAAGCTTGCTGAGTGCAGAGATTGTGCCAGTGAGCTGATTCATGCTGAGAGCCCTGCACACACACACACACACACACACACACACACACACACACACGCACACACACATGTTCACATCACAATTGGTTCACGTTGAGAGGTCACCGCTGACACAACAGCGATTGGCAGCCTGGGAGGCAGAAGGCGCGACGTGAACAGCGCAACCCTAAACCCGAACGTAAACCCTGCAACCCAAAACCTGCAACCCTGAATCCGAAACCCTGAACCCTGAGCCGTGAGGTTGGATAGACTTGTGGTTTGGTCAACCCAGAAGATGCCCCAAGTTTCGTGCTTCTCCACATATCCTCACAGCGTGTTGAGATTCGCGAGTGCAAAGAGACTCTCTGGGATGCTTCCACTCAGCTCGTTCTGACTCAGCTGCCTGCCACGCCGAGAGAATAAGGGCTGCACAGGTGAGTCTCATTGTCAAGACCCTGCCAAGACCCTGCCAAGACCCTGCCAAGACCCTGCCAAGACCCTGCCAAGTCCCTGCCAAGGCCCTGTAATGCCAACTCCCTGCTTTTCCCTGCCAAGCCCCTGCAAAGCCCCTCCGAGCAGGTTGTTGCACCCGTTAGGCGTGTGCGGCGCAGCGCAGAAGTAAGGCACAGGAGCGGGCAGGGAAGGGAGAGGTGGGGGGATCTATTGACGGGTGAGGAGAGGTCTGAGGGCTGGGAGGAGTAAGAGGAGGATGCCAAGAGAAGGGCTCACAGGTATGAGAGGCTGAGAAGCGAGCCCAGCTCAGCAGGGATGTCACCAGACAGTTGGTTGAAGCTCAGGGTCCTGTGTGTGTGTGAGCGTGCGTGTGAGAGTGTGCGTGTGGTAGTTAGGAAGTTTGTTTGTTTGTCTTGCATGTGTCTGCATCTACCCGTGTAGTGTACCACCACTTTATCAATGCAAGGACCATTCGAGAGAGAGTGAGAGTGAGATTGAGAGTGAGAGTGAGAGTGAGCGTGAGATTGAGAGTGAGAGTGAGCGTGAGATTGAGAGTGAGAGTGAGAGTGAGCGTGAGGCGAACATGTGAAGACTCCTGGACAGATTGAGTAGAACTGGGATGGGAGGAAACAGGGTGCGGAAGGGTAGTGTGCGAAAGGTGTGTCTCACATGACCCCCAGATTCCCCAACGAGCCAAGGGATGGAGGGATGGATCCTGAGAGCATGTTGTGAGACAGGTCCCTGGTGGATATTGGAGTGATGGGGTCATTCATTGGGTAACGGGGCGATGGGTTGATAGGGTTACGGGGTTATGGGATGATGGGCTGATGGTTGATGGTTGATAAGGAAGGCGGAATTTGCAAGAGTGGAAATGAGTGGAGGGCGGAAATGGAAGAGAAGGAGGGAAGGAGAGATGGCGTGGGGTGGGGGAGGATGAAGGCGAAGATGAGAGGGCAAGCGGTGGGTGAAGAGACGAGACAACAAGAGGCTTGAGACATGGAGAGGGAGCGCAGAGGAGAGAGTGGCCATCCTCCCCACATCCCCCGCCCACTCTCATCCCCCGCCCACTCTCATCCTCCGCCCATTCTCATCCCCCGCCCACTCACCCCCCACCCCACACACACCACACCGCCCCAGCCCCTCAGATGCAGGAGGAAACCCTAGCTAAACGAAGAAAAGCAAGCGGGAGCATGGGAGGGCGGATCGCTGTTCAGTGTGTGAGAACGGTGGTTTGCACTGGAGTTGAGAAGAGTCGAGTCGAGTCGAGTCGAGTCGAGTCGAGTAGGAGTAAAGCGGAGGGGAGTGGACTCACAGCCAGGTAAGTGGGGCGATGTCTCCCAGGGACTCTGGAATGGGCCCTGTGAGGCTGTTGTACGACAGATCCCTGCAGCACGCAGCACAAGGGGATGGTTGGTGAGGAGGCATGGCAGCATGCAGCAGGCAGGTCAGCCAAGAAAGATAATCACAAGGAGTGGCATAGGCAGGCAGGCAGGAAGGCAGGCAGGCAGGCAGGCAGGTAGGTAGGTAGGTAGGTAGGTAGGTAGGTAGGTAGGTAGGTAGGTAGGTAGGTAGGTAGGTACGTAGGTAGGTACGTAGGTAGGTACGTAGGTAGGTACGTAGGTAGGTACGTAGGTAGGTACGTAGGTAGGTACGTAGGTAGGTAGGTAGGTAGGTAGGTAGGTAGGTAGGTAGGTAGGTAGGTAGGTAGGTAGGTAGGTAGGTAGGTAGGTAGGTTGGTAGGTAGGTAGGTAGGTAGGTTGTTTGGTAGGTAGGTAGGTAGGTAGGTAGGTAGGTAGGTAGGTAAGTAGGTAGGTAGGTAGGTAGGTAGGCAGTTAGGTAGGTAGGTAGGTAGGTAGGTAGGTAGGTAGGTAGGTAGGTAGGTAGGTAGGTAGGTAGGTAGGTAGGTAGGTAGGTAGGTAGGCAGGTGAATAGGTAGGTATGAAGCAATCTCATTGGTGGGGCAGCAGAGGTTCCCGTGGTGCTGGCAACCTGACAACATCATCATGACAGGTTGGGCAGCCACGCACAGGCTCAGGTGGTGGCTCAGGTGGTGGCTCACAAGGTGGCTCACAAGGTGGCTCACGTGGTCGCTGAGGTCTGCTGGCGGATACTTACACAGCAGATCCGCTCAGCCTTAATGCACAGGGGTTGGGTGGGGGGTGGTTGGGTGGGTGCGTGGGTGGGAGCGTGGGTGGGTGCGTGGGTGGGTGCGTGGGTGGGTGAGTGGGTGGGAGCGTGGGTGGTGCGTGGGTGGGTGCGTGGGTGGGTGCGTGGGTGGGTGCGTGGGTGGGTGCGTGGGTGGGTGCGTGGGTGGGTGCGTGGGTGGGTGCGTGGGTGGGTGCGTGGGTGGGTGCGTGGGTGGGTGCGTGGGTGGGTGCGTGGTCGGATGCGTGCGTGGAGGGGCGCACGGGCGCAGGGCACTTACATGTACGCAAGACTGGCCATAGCACCCATGCCTGCAGGCAGGGATCCCTGGAGGTTGCATCCCCTCATGCTCCTATGCATGGTGGACCAGGCGCCGAGCCGAGGGTGAGGCGAGCCAAGGGAGATACGAGGTGGAGGGGGAGGCGGGGGGAGAGGAAGGGGAGAAGGGGATGGGCAAAAGCGGGGAAGGCAAAGAAGAGGGCTGCGTTGGGCAAGCTTTCGGTGACTCGGGGAGGGAGGGAGGGAGGGGAGAGTGTGTGTGGTAGGCGGAGCTTGTGGAATGGAAGCGAATGCATGAGATGGAGAGAGAGCAACAGGCAATAGTAGTTGCTGATGAGTGCTTGCGGTGGTGTGCAGGCAAAGAGGTGCATGTGAGGGCCGTGCATGCCACACCGTGGGAGGGCAGGGAGGGAGGGAAGGACGGACGGACGGACGGACGGACGGACGGACGGACGGACGGACTGGCGGAGCATTGGAGCATGGAAGCAAGAGCGTTGTGCGGCGTACAAGTAGGTGAGGCGGTTGAGATTGAGAATGCTTGTTGGCATGGGCCCAGAAATGCCGGTGTTGCGACTCAAGTCTCTGGATCCGACAATCACAGTCGGGCGGGGCAGGGCGCCCACAGCAAAAGACGAGATGAGACGAGAGGAGAGGAGAGGAGAGGAGAGGAGAGGGACACGCTGCTGATCAGCTTGGCTCATGAAGGACAAATCTGAAACGTGCTGCACACCATCACAAAGGATGATAATTTTTTAGGCGCCCCAAAAAACACCTTCGCTTGGCTCATGACGAACAAAGCTGAGCATGCTCCACAACAAAGCGTGGCCATGAAGCAAGCTGATCGGACCTTTCGGAAGCCTGCGCGAGCAGAGCAGAAAGAATAAAGTGCTGCAGAAGCAAGCATGTGTGCTTGCTAGCTAGCGGACAGACACGTGCGACTTCAGAGTTGCTGAGTGTATTGGCTTACAAGATCTGAAGCGAAGTAAGGCTTCCTATGCCTTCTGGCAATGGGCCGATAATGCCTCGCTGTGACAACCCACTGGTGGGACGAGGGAAGGGACGAGTGAAGGGATAAGGCAGGGTGGTCCAGGGAGGGGGGACGGGAAAGGAAGGGGGAGAGACGGTAGGGGAAGGAAGGGGAGGAGAGCGGAGAGGAGGGGCTTGAGAGGCGAGAACTGCAGCAACCGCTGGCCAAAGTTTGCAGCAAGAAACAAGAGAAGCAGCGGCAAGCATGGGAGCATAAGGACCATACCAGCTGAGCGAGCCGGGCGGGAAGCACAATGAGTAGAGTGACAGCTGAGCGAACGGGAGTCGGGACAAACGAGTGGAGGGAATTAAAAGAAGCAGCAGGCGAGTGAAGGGCAGGCAGGCGAGTGAAGAACGAACAGGAACTCGAGCTTGTGGAGGCTGCTGATGGACTCGGGAATGGGCCCTTCCACGTTCATGTTCACAATATCCCTGCCATGCCACCACACCACACCAGCACCATCAGCACAACAGAGCATCACCACCAGCACCATCACCACCAGCACCATCACCACCAGCACCATCACCACCAGCACCATCACCACCAGCACCATCAGCACAACACAACAACAGGGTAGGATACCACCATCAGCGTCAGTTTGTCACCACCATGGTTTGCTTGCGCACATCGTTGCCGGTGGGTCACTGGGATGGGATGGGATGAAATGCAGTGGTTCCGTTTTTTTTTTTTTTTTTTTTTTTTTTTGAATTCTCATAAGGATGAGATGAGATTGGTTGGTCCTGCAGTTGAGTGCGGGTGGGCGGAATACAGGTGCGCTGTGGGAAGAGATGGGAGCGCTAGCAGTAGTAGTAGTAGTACTAGTACCCACTATACAAGAACGACATCTTAACGTTATCTGCAGCGCGGGCTGGGCAGGCGGCCTTTTTTTATTATTATTTTAATTTCTCTTTGGTGTTGATCCTGTTGCTACAGCGTCACCTTCACGTACTGCAGCCCTTCGAATTCTGAGTCAGAACGGCATCTTAACCTTATCTGCAGCGCAGGCTGCAGCCAGCAATCGTTAGGTCGGACCATGGTTGGATGCGACGCTAACCAGCTTGATCGCAAACCGATTGCTGCCATGCCATGCCATGCCAAGCCATGACATGGGTGGGTTGTCTGACAACCGTCTGTCATCAATCAACAGCATCTTGTGTGACATTCATACCATGCCACTGCGGTTCAGCTCACGTCATGCGTTTCTCAGCCAATAGCAGATCTACTATCCGCTTTCCATGCAAGAAAACGAACGAGCATGCCGTGGTTTAGTGGTGGCTGGCTGGCTGGCTGGCTGACTGGTCTCACACGGAAATCATCATGCCGAAAGACTTGGAAAACACTTGGAAAAAAAATCTAGATAGGAACTACTTGTAGTGATAGGGGTAGCTGGAGCCTGGTCTCACAGGGCAACAATCATGCCGCTTCGGTCGCAGTAGACGAACTCGAGCATCCTGCAGTCCCAGTCGGAGTAGTCCGACCACGTCATGGAGGGGTTGCCCCACGCGCCCTGGCAGTCCCGCAGGAATTGCACTGCGCGTTGGCGTGGGAGGGGGAGGGAGGAGGGAGAAGGAGGGAGGAGGGAGGAGGAGGGAGGAGGGAGGAGGAGGGAGGAGGGAGGAGGAAGAAGGAGAGAGGAGGAGAAGGAGGAGGAGGGAGGAGGGAGGAGAGAGGAGGGAGGAGGGAGAAGGAGAGAGGAGGGAGAAGGAGGGAGGAGGGAGAAGGAGGGAGGAGGGAGAAGGAGAGAGGAGGGAGAAGGAGGGAGGAGGGAGAAGGAGGGAGGAGGGAGAAGGAGGAAGGGAGGAGGGAGAAGGAGAGATAAAGCAAGTGAGTACCACCGGGTGCGCACTGAGCTTTCCGAGTACCACTACTGAACTAGAAGCATGGCGAGAGGATCGGCGAGAGGCAAGGCGGGACAGCAAAAGGGGCGTGCCCGTATCACGCCATAGCGCGACACACCTTGGGACTCCTGCAGGAACGGACCGCCGACCACCCCCGTAACGCCGGCCATTGCGATCACCACCACCACCGCTGCCACCACCGCGGCGCGCGGCCACGGCGACGCGGCGAGCGCAGGCGCGCGGCGCTGCGGCGGAGCCCGCCGTTTCTTAGTAATAGGCGGCGCCATGATCGTGTTGAGTGCCGGGGGGGACGCCGCGGGGGACGCTGCGGGAAACGAGCAAATCGTACAACTTGGAAGTTCCAACAGCCGAATTGTAGCACGAAGCTTGCGGTCCCAGCGTGAAATAAAAGCCGCGGACCACGTGACGATAAGTTGCTCTCGCTCTGCTTGTGGATGGCGACTCGGCGGGTGGAGATAATCTGGCAGCACGACTGTCCGGCTTGAAAGCCGTGGGAGTTACAACTAGTAACGGTGGTAAGATTCGGACTGCCTGTTCAAAACAGCGGTTCAAGACACTATCACTACAAGAGCACCTGAGGGCTCTATTAGTAGTGATAGCAGTGGCGATTCGAGCTTCGTCGGGAAGGAGGTAAAGGCGTAAGGGTGTGAGCGTCATGGTCATCATGCCGCGACTGTGTTACTAGAAGTAGCACTGCGCAGGCTTCAGCTCGGTACTGTAACAGTGTGGCGGAGCGGGTGGCGCTGGGACGGTGTAACAACTGGAGCCGGGGTCGGGGCTGTTTGACGCTCAACGCGGTCCGTTGCGACGGACTGGAACTTGGAACACGTTCCCCACGGCTTATATTTGGGGAAACGCGTCCGAGGATGTCATCGCCGCATTCAACCGCACTGTATCACGCAATTGCGTGCGTAATAGCTCATAACCCTGGTTTTGTAATGAGCCCCAAGAGTCGAGATTAATGCGTGTGCACACACTCCACGTCATCACGGCTCCCCGTGATGAGGTATCGCGTTGAGGGCCAAACAGCGGGACTTGCGGTGAAGGGGAATGTGCTCAGTTCTGGTATGGTTTGACGCTGAACGCGATGAGGAGGAAATGGCCAATCACCGACTGGGTATGGTCTACACTATTCAAAGAAATTGTCATCCATCTTACCTAAACTTATGTATACAACTTGTACAAAACAGCAATTGTATGCAACTACCGCAACTGCTTACGCTATTGTGGATCTGCCATGTATGGAATATCCATCCATGGAGCGCCACCCTTCCTCTTGTACCATCTTTTCTCGTTCGGCCCATACAACATCAGCATCGCTCGTCATAGATGCTGCTCTTAGAATAGGAATGCAACGGAATGAGACGAAACTAGAAAGTATAAGTACAAATATGCAACCCTAACAACTGTACTCCCTATTGTGCTACTCACTGTAGCCTACAAGCATAGAATTACATTTGACACACCCCCATAGGCTAAGTGAGGGGCATCAAAGCAAGCAAGGTGAACAAACGGTCACAAGACCAGTCAAAACAAGAAACAAGGCAAGCTCAGGGTGGATCTCAAGGACACCACACAAATTCCGAGCGCAAGAAAGCGGCCACAAGGCCAGTTCAAGAGCTCACTAGGATATAAATAGGAAGCACAACAAGCAGAGCAAACAACAAGACTACAGCAACCGAGGGCCTACCTCAACAAGCCCCAACTGCACACAGAACCTGTGGTGATCACCAAGCGCCAAGGCCTTGATGAAGACGTCTGCAGTGTTGGCCTCTGAGGCCACAAAGTCGAGGCGTGCCTGGCCGCGTCGCTGCAGCTCTCGCAGGAGGAAGTACCTCACGTCAATATGCTTCACTCTGCTCTCCAGTCGAGGCTCTCAACACAGGAGGATCATGGCCTTGTTGTCAGCGTACAAGGTCGGTGCAGAGCGAGGCCGCTCACCAAGGTCGGTGAGCAAGAAGGTCAACCAACGAAGCTCCTGTGCCGCCATGGCACCAGCGTAGATCTCTGCCTCTGCACTAGAAGTAGCCACAGACGACGACCATGTAGACCTCCACGATACAGCACCAGCTCCCAGACTGAAGCAGTAACCCTGAGTCGAGCGCTGAGTCTCCACGTAGTCAGCGTAGGAAGAGTCGCAGTGACCAGTGAACGCCACTGCCTGAGTCCCTCCAAGCACAAGCCCCATGCCTGATGTAGTCGCCAGGTACTTCGCCACCCTCACAGCAGCTGTCCAGTGGACAGGACGGTGTCTCCCAGTCGCAACAAAGCGAGAGAGGATGCTGAGGGGAAAGGCGAGGTCCGGCCGAGTACAAGTCATCAGGTACATGAGGCAGCCCACAAGCTCTGCGTAGGGACCACTGGGCTCAAAGGGCTCGTCAGGAAAGGGGCCAGTGAGTCGGTGGTCAACATCAAGAGGAGTGAGATGTGTGGTGGAGAACTGGAAGTCGAACCGCCGAAGGACCTGCTGCACCATGTGTGATTGCGTAAGTGTGATGGTGCGAGCGGCTCTGTCCCTGGTGATCTGCAGGCCAAGGTAGCGCTGCAGCTCACCCAGGTCAGTGCACTTGTGTCTCTTCTGCAGTTCGGACTTCACCTGAGCCAGGACTGCCCTGTCTGCGGTAGCAAACACCAAGTCGTCGGCGTAGACAAGGATAAAGAAAGGATTAGAACCCGCTCGAACAAACAGCGACGGGTCGGCGGAGGACGGGCTGAACCCAAGGTCACGAAGCGTGGAGCGAAGAGTGTCGTGCCACTCACGGGGCGATTGGCGGAGACCGTAGACTGGTCGCCTCAGGCTCCACTGGGTCCTAGGTGGGAAGGTGTCAGTGAAGCCAGGAGGACGACGCAGCCAGATCTCCTCGTGCAGTCGGCCCTGGAGGAGCGCAGTGGAGAAGTCGAGGGAGTGCAGCTCGTAGTCTCGCTGCGCTGCTATGTGGAGTAGCACCCGAAGAGTAGTCATCTTCGGGGTCGGGGCGAAGGTCTGGAAGAAGTCAACTCCCTCACGCTGACTGAAGCCCCTAGCCATGTAGCGCGCCTTGAACACCGGCGGTGCTCCAGGCGGCCGCTTCACCTTGAAGAGCCACATGCCATCGACTACGTTCGCCCTGGGAGGGGGAACTGCGTCGACGTAGGTGCCTATGGATCTCCAAGACGCCAACTCTGAGTCCATAGCCGCTTTCCACTGAGAGGCCCACGCCCCTGACACTGCCTCGCGGTAAGTGCGAGGAGTTGGTATGTCAAGGGCGTCGGGGTCTCCCTCAGGGGAGAGCAGCATGGCACACACAGAGGGAGAAGCAGCTGCCCAGTACTCCAGCTCAGACTCTCTGTCCTCTAGGACGTCACAGCCAGGGGCAAACCCACCCCCGACGGACAGAGGACGGGAGGGAGGAGCTGGCACCACACGGGTGGCGTAGTCAAGGCAGCTGGCGGCAGCAAACTCAGCGACAGCGGCAGTGAGAGCCGAGGCAGACGACGGAGGGAAACGAGAGTCGGTGACAAGAGTGGCGAGGACACGTGTGGCAACAGGACGAACAGCGCGGTAGTAGTCAGAGATAGGAATGGGGAGAGCTGTGAGAGAGGACGGAGGAGGAGACGGGAGAACGGACACAAGAGAAGGAGAACGATGACGAGACGAACAAAGGAGGGCAGTGTGGAGGTCAGTAACAGGGGACGAGTGACGAGCACGCGGAGGACAACGGGTGATCAAGTCGCGACGGACAGAAGGAGGAGGAGACTGAGGAGGAGGAGAAGACCAGACCGCCGGACGGTCGTCAGGAGGAGGCAGCAGAGGAACAAACACAGGAGGAGACTGGGAGCGGACAGGAGGAGAGGAGGAAAGGCCAGGGCCCGCAGGCCACTCACAGGTGGGAACAACTGCCGCTCCAGAGGAAGCTGCGGAGGCGGCTGCGGCTGCCGGTGCTGTGGCTGCGGCGGTGGCTGCGGCTGCTGCTGCTGCTGCTGCCGCTGCTGCTCCAGAAGGTCCAGCACCCGCAGCTCCTGCCGCTCCCTCTCCAACCGCTCCTGCTCCTCACGCTCACGCCGACGGGCAGCCTGGAGACGCGTGTCGTGGCGGTGGGGAGGCAGAGTGGACTCCGCAGAACCAGGGTCTTCAGTTCCAGTCTCCTCAGACTCAGCACCCCCAGAACCAACACCTCCAGTGTCAGGACCCCCAACTCCAGCACCCCCAGAACTAGCACCTCCAACTCCAGCACCCCCAGCTCTAGCACCCACAGAGCTAGCGCCACCAGCACCAGCCCTTCCAGCTCCAGCACCCCGCAATCGAGCACCCCCAGACCGCGTACCACCAGCAGCTGCACCTCCAGCTCCAACACCAACCAAGTCCACAGTCACCTGTCGCGGAAGTGCCGAAGGCTGCTGAGGGGACTGTGAGGAGGACTGCGGGGAGGGAGACGCTACCTGACGCGCGACCGAGGGTAGAGGGGTAGCGTGGGACACACCAGACGGGGCAGGACCAGGGGGGGGAGGGGGTACCGGAGGAGCAGGAGCAGGAGGAGGAGAGGGTGCTAGGAAAAGGGGGGGAGGGGATACCGGGAGACCTCGACAGGGGTACCGGGTGTAGTAGGACACAGACTCGTCAAACCGGACGTCACGGGAGTCTAGGAACTGGTGGAGGGGCGGGTGGTAGAAGGACCAGTCGGCAGAGTCCACTGGGAAACCAAGGAAGACACAGGGGACGGCGCGTGCCGAGAGCTTGTCCGCGGAGGTGTCGCGAACAAGCGCAAGGCAGCCCCAGACTCAAAAGGCCGACCCAACACCAGGGGAACCAGTCCAAAGACTGGTCGGTGAAGCCTCGGGCCGCGAGAGACGCGGTTGGAGGTTCAGCTGGTGTGCGGCGTAGCGAACCGCATGGGGCCACAGAAAATGGGGCGCACGGGCATGGATCATGGACGTGCGGGCGATGTCCATGACCAGGCCTATGCGGCGCTCAGCAACCCCATTCTGCTGTGGGGACTCTGGCAACGTCCAGGACTGGGTGATGCCCTGTTCGCCGCAGAATCCGCCGAGAATGCCGGAGCGAAACTCGCCCTCACGGTCGGAGTGGAGACAACTGACTCGACGACCACGAGTGCCCTCAGTGGCTAGAAGCCACCTGATCAGCGTAGCAGTCACCTCGAACTTCTTCGCAAGAGGGAACACTGTGGTGTACCTGGAGAAGTCGTCGACGACCACCAGAAAGTAACGCTCCCTCCCAGACCCCTGCGTCGGGGCAGGGCCCCAGACGTCCAAGTGGAGAGTCTCAAAGGGAGCGGTGGCCAGCCGAAGGGAGGAGGAGTGGGGAGTGGCGCGTAAGCGACCAGCGACGCACGGAGAGCAAGGAGGGGCAAGCGAGGGAGGGAGCGACGGGAAGGTGCGTGGGAGACCTGTGACAAGTCCCTGACTGAGCATGCCACGAAGGCGAGGGATCGATGGGTGGCCAAGGCGGTGGTGCCACAGGACGGTGCGGTGGGCTAGAGAGCGACAGGAGCAAGACGCAGCGACTGGACTGGACACAGCGACCGGACCGGACACGACTACCTGGCTAGACACCGCAACTTGACTGGGGACCTGGGCCGGAGGGGACGCAACGACCTGAGGGGAGGACACGATTGGGGAGCGCTCGGTGTGGAGAGCGTAGAGACCGGAGCGGGGCTCCCTGGTGAACGTGGCCAGAACAGCACCTGTGGTAGCGTCTGTACAGACTGCAGTCCGCCCACCCCCCACGAAGGTAACCGTGATCCCCCTGTCCTGGAGGTATCCAACACCCACCAAGTTCCGAGTGAACGAGGGGATGTGGAGGCCACGCAGGACACTAGAGGGGACCACAGGGCACGGGAGGGTGGTGGAGCTACGCGCAACGGCTGGTCCAGAGGTAGGATCAGCCAGAGCCACTGACACGGGAGTGAGGAGTGGCGTAAGGGTCGTGTGGTCGCGGAAGAAGCACTGAGACGCGCCCGAGTCCAGCGTGAACGACAGAGAGGCCTCAGCCGGAGGGTCACCTGACCCAGTCGCTACACAAGCACCTAGAGCAACAACACAAGCACCTAAGCTAGACAGGCACAAGGCTACACTAGCAGGAGGCAAGCAGGCTAAACTACGAACACGCGAGCACACAGATCCCTCAGCACTAAAGTCAGCATCAACATACAAAGCATGCTGACGCGCATCGTCCATGGACAAATCAAAGACATCAATCTTACGGGTTAACAGATGAGACCAGCGAGGCGTGACCGCCAGGGGGCCCCAACGAGCCCGGTACAGGTCGTCGAGGCGCGGAAGCACCGCGCGGCAGAGTGGTCGTCGCGACCACAGAGACAGGGGCTGCCCGGCCCGGTGACGCAGTGGGTGCAGGGGCCAGCCTCACGGCGAGGGGGGCGAGGGGCCCAGTTGGAAGAGCTGCTACTGCGGCCGGTGCTCCCAGGGCCTCCCGGACCCCACTGCGGCGCGGGACCCAAGTGCTGGAACTGCTGCGGTGCCTGCTGCTGCTGCTGTCCCTGCTGCTGCTGTTGTCCCTGCTGTGGCTGGTGCTGCTGTGGCTGCTGGTGCTGGGGGGCAGCACCCCCACCGGTCGGGCCACCACCTGTGGGTGGACCTGTCTGTCCTGCGCCTCCTCCAAGGCCCCCTCCCCCTGGTGCACCACCGCCGCCGCCGCCGCCGCCGCCGCCGCCGCCTCCACCACCACCGCCGCTCCCACCTCCACCGCCCCCTCCACCGCCACCTCCTCCGCCCCCACCTCCCCCCTTCCCGCCCTTCTTGCCACTCTTGCCCCGTTTCTGCCAGTCTACGGCAGAAACGGCAGCGGTGTCCTCAGAGACCGACACAGCAGCAGAAGCGCGGGTAGCGGTGAAAGTGGGAAGCTGAGGGGCGGCACACCCCGCAAAGAGACGGGGGGCCACCGCATCAGTGGCGGAGGCAACGGTGAGGAGGCTGTTCTCGATGGTCCCGAGAGCAGTCTGAAGGAGGTCTATAGTGAGTTCAGTGGGGTGCTTCTGAAGAAGCGCGTCGCGGGCAGTGGCAAGGCGGTCAGGGAGGCGGGTGACTAACCAGTGCACAGTGAGCCACATGGGGGGGGGAGCAACAAGGAGTTGTGCGTCGGTACAGGCCGAACGAAAACCGGCGTCAAGCGAGCGGAGGTGAGTCACTAGGTCGGAAACAGTCGCAAACGAGCCTAGGTCGGGAAACACGAACGGCATGAGGAGGCGACTGAGGGAGGCGGAGGAGGGGGTGGAATAGCGAGCCACAATAGCATCCCAAACCCCCTTGGCTGTCTCCACCTGGTCAAAGTGAGCGGCCTCAGTCGGGGGGAGAAGCTCCGATAGCGTGAGGGCGGCGGCCGCGTCACGAGAGAGCCACACGTCCCGAGCCAGGACCCGACGGTCGTAGTCCGCCTGGGCCGTAGGAGTCGGCTCCGGGGCGGTCGGCAGGGCGGCGGGGGACGGGGGTGCCGCGAGAGCACCCGGCGCGTGGGCCCACGGAGTAGCGCCGTCCTGACGCTGGCTGGTGAGGAAACGTGTGGTCTGGCGCTGCCAGGTACCGAACTCGATCGGGCGTCCCTCAGCATCGAAACGGAGGCGACGGGCCTCCATAGCGGAGCCCATGCTAGAGGCGACTGGAGCACGGCGGAGGCGGAGCTAAGAACGAGGAGGAAAACTACAGAGGGCTAGGGACGCCAGCGGGGAAACCGACGAGAGACAGTCGGCGAGAAAATAGTCGTGAGGCGGGGCTCTAACCGAACCTAGGTGGCGCTACCGGAGGGAAGAGCGGCTGCCAGCCGCTGAGCCGGGAGCCAAGTGCAGTAGGAATGGCGTGGGACCGGTGCACAGGTGAAGGGGAGAGAGATGCAGTAAACGTACAGAGTGATGCGGTAAGTGTACGCAGGTGTGCGGTAAACGCACGCAGGTGTGCGGTAGGTGCACGCAGGTGTGCGGTAAGTGCACGCAGGTGTGCGGGAAGCGCACGCAGGTGTGCGGGAAGCGCACACAGAGTGATGCGGTAAGTGCACGCAGGTGTGCGGTAAGCGCACGCAGGTGTGCGGTAGGTGCACGCAGGTGTGCGGTAAGCGCACGCTGGTGTGCGGGAAGCGCACGCAGGTGTGCGGGAAGCGTTGACGGAGGAGGGCGCGCGACAGGCGGAGGGGAGGGCACGCGGCGGTCTAAGGAGGGCGGACGACGGTTTTGGAGGGCGCGCAACGGTGGGGGAGGGCGCGCGGAGGTCTAAGGAGGGCGCGCGACAGGCTGGACAGCGCGGGAGGGCGCGGGCTAGGCGCGAGGAGGGCGCGGAGGGCGCGGAGGGCGCGGAGGGCGCGAGAGCACGGAGGGCGCGTAGGGCGAGGAGGCTAGCTAAAAACGAACGAGGATCTAACCTACTCGTGATACCATCTTAGAATAGGAATGCAACGGAATGAGACAAAACTAGAAAGTGTGAGAGTACAAATATGCAACCCTAACAACTGTACTCCCTATTGTGCTACTCACTGTAGCCTACAAGCATAGAATTACATTTGACAGCTGCTGCCATAAGAGTGGGTGAGCCACTGCTGTTTGGGTGAATGAGTAATTGCAACGAGTGGCATGGAAAATTTCCCAAGCGAAGGGGGATGAGCGATGGCATTGCCATCATGGCAATGAGTGTGAAAATCCCAGAGTCATAAATGCATTGCCACTGCCTGCTGGAGCTGGAAATTGTGATAACTGTGATGATGAGTAGCAATGCCATGTGTGACCAAAGGTGAAACTAATCAAGGTGAACTTAGCATGCAAAGATTTTATTGCATAATGCTTCTACCTACATTGAATAATAAACTCATCATTACAGGAGCAACACCGGTATATGGACACGGAGTGTGTCCATCCAAGAAGGAATACAGTAGAAGGGTGCTACTCTAAGGAGGGCGGTTATAAACAGCATGTGCAGTTGCCAACTTGGTTGCAGCAAACAGGGTTTTTCTCCCTGGTCATGCAAATGCTGGTAACACTGCAGCACCTGTTCGCCCAGCACACTCGCCCATTCGCAGGCTGCACATGCAACCACCAACACAGGCAAGGAGGGGGGAGAAAATCTCAGAAACGGCATGTAAGTGTGCAGCAGGGAAGCGACGGTGAGTCTGTTCAAAAACGAGGTTGAGGCGTGCACGGCACTCACACTGCCGCAGCACTTGCTGCCGCCACAGAGCTCCGTGGGCGCAAGGCAGTAGCCGTTGCAGCAGCGGAAGGGCGAGCAACACGCCACGGCGGTCTTGGCCTCTGTGGTGCTCAGGCACGTGGGACACAGCTGCGATACCGCCGCTGGTTATATCAGTGAACGACGCCAGGGGAAAGGGTAGGGACGAAAGAGAGCGGATGTGGGGATGGGAATTGGGGGGGGAGGAGGGGGGGGAAGGTGAAGAGAGGGAATGGTTTGGATGATGGGGAGCATGGAGGGAGGACCAGGGAGGGCTTACGAATGACCCTCAACGCCTAGTGACAGGAAGGCCAGAAGTTAGCTCACGCTACATAAGGTTCTCCTTATGCTCTCATGGCCTGTGAACCCTCGTTTCGAAGACCTGTGGACAGACCACGCGAAGCGACCCCCGGCAAGCACAGGCCGAACTCACAAGAGACTGAGAAGGTCCAGCTGAGGATGTCGTGCACGGCGGGGGAGCCTGCGGATGACGCGGTGAACCCCACGAAGAACCCGGGCTTCTTCAGCACCGCGCACAGGTTCATCCTTCCGCGCATCATCGCCCGCCGCGGCCGCTTGCGCCCGCGCCCCACGTACACCGCCAGGTCGAGGCCGTTGTAGATCACCCACGCGCGCCAGATTTTGGTGTCGTTTAGCGGCGCAACGAGCGTTTCCGCGGAGAGGGACCTGGCGGAGTTGCGCAGGTTGATCCCCACGTGGCTCGCCACGAGCGCGCCCCTGGATCCGCCATCCGCGCCATTGGCGCTGTAACTGGGCTTCGGGTCCCACGTGTTATGGTACGTGTCGAACTCTATAGCCAGCGCGCGCGAGCGGCGGTAGCGCACGTCCCCCGCGTACCCCATATACCCGTCTGCGGAGCCCAGGTTGCGCAAGCGCGGCCAGAGCACCATGGCGAAGCCGTCCGCGGGCCCGCTCACGCGGAAGTCGAAGATGGAGCTCCAGGCGAGCGCACGACAGGTGGAGCTGTTGGCGGAGTTGCCCGGGCGGTCGAGGAGGACGATGGGCGTGCGGAGAATGGCCGCGCCCGCGGAGTGCTCCGCGGAGGTGAGGCGCACGGCCTTGCGGTGGTATGAGATGGCCGAGCCGAATAGGTGGAGCAGGTCAGTGGACTGGAAATTGGGGAACTTGACGCGACCTGGTAGGGAGCGGTGGGTGAAGGGGCAAGGAGACTTGAAAGGCGCTTGAGGCGGTGAGATATCATGCTGAGTGGCGTGGGGAAGAGGGAAGAGGCGCGAGACATGGGAGGCATTATGAAAACAACATGGGGGTGGTTCGCAATCAACTGGGGCGAATAAAAGCGAGGGTACGGAAAGAAGTTGGCCGCGAAGGGTAGAGGCGAAACGCACTGCTCAAAGGGCCGGAAGTGAACGCGTGGCCATTGCCCTTGGCCATGGCGGAATCCAAAAGCAGTAGAAAGAGGAGGCACGTCACCGTTGCTGCAAGCAACAGCCCTTTTGGAGCCCGAGTCATGGTGCCGCTTGCTTCCCCGTATGCGCGAGCGTGGTACACGCACTCGTACTAGACGTTATATCCGTCGACCTTTTGTCTGTTCGAGTCTACAGATAGTTAGTATACGAGGTTAGTATATCGGGTTTTCTTCGAGAGAAAGGAAACGGAGCTTGAAGTGTCAATGGTGAGAGCCCTAGCCGCTACCCAGACGGTCTTTAAACACTTGGCAGCCGGTCTGTGAACGAGATTCTTGTGACGGACAAACACCAGCGAGCTGTGTTGGTGTGGCTGTTAGCAGGGAACCTAAACTGAACGAACCGTGTGCGTCCCTCCAGCCTGGTCTAAGTTTCGACTTACATGTACCAGAAACCCAGGGCTTGGTTGCTTGCCACCAGAAACCCAGGGCCGATGTTGGAGGGCGAGGGAGGAAGGAGGGCAAAATGCTTTCGCCCATGCTGGTCGAGATGAGATGGGATGGGATCGGCGCATCGAAGTGGTAAGTGGCCCGCGTCGCGCTCGTGAAGGGTGTTCGTGCGTGATTTTCTGCTATGAGATACCATTCTGCGTGGAAAGTAGAAGTTGCCTGGGGTTCGGGAACTGGAATGCTAAAATGAGGGCCTCATCTCTCTTAGCGAGAAAACCAGATCCGCTGAGGCCCTTTCTGCAGTTTTTACGGGAAGGGTCGTCATTCAGAAGCTTTTCGAGCTCAGAAGGGTAATGGTAGTGACAAAACCTCAAACTGAAGGTTCTTTACCATCAAGAGATTCCGCAAATGGAAAAAGGCAAGCCATCCAATGCCTGAACTACTGCGCGACTTGACACCTTTCGATATAGTCGCTCTACACCGGGCAGGGGACATTGGTGGCTGCAATTTGTTACCGCGCTACGACACAAAAAGGATTTCATTCTCACAGCAAATTCGCCGTGGTTACAATTGGGTTCTTATAAGAGCTGTTACCGGTACTGTGGCACAATAATAAACAATACCATCATGTAGTATGGATCGCGAAGCCATACATCTCTGATGTTTTACGGCCAGCCGAATAATTGCTTCACAACATTAGCATGCCTAACCAGTTAGGCAGGGCAGGCTTGGAATGGACCATGACTTTGTACAAATATATTGTTTTTTAGTCAACATGCGCATACCATCAAGGTGGACCCGTCTTTACTATTCAAGCGCCCCAAGCTGTAGAAGGCCTAACAAGGGGCCATAATACGTCACATGAGAAGTCACATACTAAGCAGGCTGACCACCACCAGTAAAATAGAGTAGAGTAACTCGCGTGATGAGTAGCACGCGAGTTGGAAATCGAAAGAAACGGAGGTGAATGTGCGACACACAGCTAGCCTAGTGTGGGAGGACGATTCACAATTCCATCTTTATCCACGTAGATGCGCACACGGTTCAAGCGGTAGTCCATCGTCACCATCATGCCCGGCCTGACGATTCCCACTTGCAGCGTTGGGTCCTCCGCCAAAATCTTCTCGCGGGCCTCCGTGCCTGGGATTCCAACCAACTCTGGCCAAGACTTCGGCTGACCCTCGTCCATGTTAGAACCTGAGGGGTGGGACGCATTGAAACAGACGGATACATATCGAAAACAAATTAGCACTCACAAGGACCAGAGGGCAGACCATGAAGAGGAACGTGAAACGAGTAAGACAGAATGTTAGGGTAACCAATGGGACTAACTCCACTAGGACACTAAGCGAAGCGTGTTGCTAAGAACGCGACTTCCGAAGCGTGAATCTAGGTATAAACGGCCAGAGCTGTACCTGGAGGAATATCGTTCAAAAGAGCGAGAGTAGGGACCAAGAGAGTCGCGAGCACAAGCAGGATACAGAAAGACCAATTCTTCAACATCCTGGGCAGTTCTACGTGAAGATTTATAAACAGACAAGGTCTCAAAAAGAGAGCTTGCTAAGAGTGCAGCACACGCAAGAGGAGTTCGACAACACGGTTTCTTGAGAGAACAGACTACCTTCAATTCCACGGCACCGAACAGAAATATATGTGCTGCGTGTGGAGGAGCTTCGCTGACAAACTGCAACCCTAGTCTTGAGGGAGATATGGCTGGGGGAAATACGAAGACAAAGGAAGGGTGTGATAGACGCCATCTCCACATTCATCTTGGGGGAACGTGAGCAAGGGTGGCCGTGAGAAGGGGTGGTCCGTTTGTTGGACTCACCGTTTGGCCGTCAGTCGGTGGGGGAAAGCGGAGATGGCGAGAAAATGGACGGCCGGGCAGGCGAAAACCGTGATGATGACGGGCAATACAGGCGGGTGGAAGTTCTGCTGAGTTGCCAGAATTGTGATGACTGGACGGAGGGGTGTGTGGTCTGACGGTGGGTCCGACAGTGGCTTTTATCTGACCATTAGCTGGCTCCTACGTGTTCGACAAGCGAAAGACTAGAGGCAACTGACAGGTGCTACAGCTACGCCTGTAATTCGGACCTTCGTCAGGGGTTCCGTCATTTGGTTCTATCAGTTCATACGGTTCTTTCATTCTGATCTATTTCATAATGCATTTATCACGGCAGCTCATACCAGGTACAGTGCAGGTAACAATGATAGTACATAGTTCGCCATATATATCTGTAGAGAAACGAGTACAAGTTTCTCGCTACAAGCGTCAATGAATCCATAGAATCACAAATGCACCCCAGCAGCATTTTCACGACGCCCACCCATTCGTGGTCCTTCCATCTGCCCTGTGCGCCGCTTAGCTTCAGCACTCCCACGCCACTGCTCACACCAGTAGCAGTAGCAGCAGCTTTCAGACCTAAAAGAATGTCGCAGGGCAAGACAGAGTGGCCCGAGCTTGTGGGCTTGTGCGGGGAGGAGGCGAAGCAGAGAATCGAGGCAGAGGGCGGTGGTCTCAATGTACAGGTTGTGGGGCACAATCAACCGACGACGCGCGACTATCGCCTGGACCGCGTGCGCGTTTTCGTGGACGAACAGGGGGTGGTGATTAGGGCTCCGCGCACAGGATGACAAGCGCGAATGGCATAATATGTCCGCTGTCAATATGCACACGCTCCTGTGACAGAAGCTACGCAGAGTCTGTTTGGGATTGGCGCCCGTTAGAGCTAGGTTTTCAAGGAAATATGTGAGCCTGTAAAAAAGAACTGGTTTAATTTCCGGTTTTTTTCCCTTAGTCTCTTCCTTTCTTCCTCTCCTTTCACCTTCCTCTTTCCTCTGTTCCTCTCCTCCTCTCTTCCTCTTTCCCGTCTCTTTTCTCTTTCCCTTCTCTTCCTCTCTTTCTCTTATCTTCTTACCACCCCATGACAATGGAGGATGCTGTGTCGTGTACATCGGAAAAGTCTGTAGCATCTGGATGGAAGTTGGAAAGATCAGGATGCATGTCAATATACCAGCAGTATGTGCCTTCGCCACACCCATTTTGGATCCTGACAGAGCCTTGGGAGAAATAAATGAATGTTCCAACCAATGTCCGTACATACCGTATATGCTGTTTATTATCCTGTTTCAGAATAGCAAAAAATCTGAATCTGCATTCTCAACTCAAATAATATCTCTCAGCTTCCTACACAAATGGAATTCCGGATCAAGCATAATATTGCATGAAATCCCTCGCTGTACTCACTTGGTTTGGGAGGTGAAAACATAGCTAGGCCAATATCGAGAACGACGTTCCAGATCCCAAGACCCCCTACCAGATGCCTGCATTTGCGATATTGCTCCTCAATATTTCTAGATTTTCTAGGTATTCCTCCTCGCGTCTAGGGGTCCTGGCTGCAGTTGCGCGGTGTTGCTCGTCATCTCCGTTTCTTCGGTACCACCAATCTCGGCGTTCCTGCACAATCATCGACGCATTTCAGCCAGAGATCTGCTCCTACAATGGGTACGGGTCACCGCGCAACAGATTGGTGCTGCTATGCTACACATCTAGTCCTTTCCTTACCCATCCCCGCACTTAGCATAAAAATCAGCTCTTCCAAGCGTGTGTTCATCGCAGCTTGATAACTGAATGATCAGTTCAAACGCACCTCCTGATTCCTCGTTTCTTGTCACATTTCAATCTTGGATCCTTCTCCATGGTGCGACATGCTCGTCCACTCCCCGGAGTCATTAAGTCACTCTTTCAATGATCATTTCACAATCCCTTCTTTCCCCACTCCCTCTCCGTTCACCATTCTCTCCCACCCATCCTCACCTCCCCCCTCTCCAATTTTTCTCTTCCTCACTGACTTACCCTCCCCCCGTTCCCTCTTTTCCCTCGCCAGCCCCAGCAGTCGCTCAGCCCGCGGCAGGCGCCCGGAAGCTGACGTCACCGCAGACGTCAGCGCTGTACGCGGTGATTCTGTTCCTCATCGTGCTGTCGTTGCAGCAGGTGAACCGCGCCACGCTCGCGTCCTCCAAGCCGCTCACCATCGTCGGCGGCTTCGTCAGCGCGCTGCTCTTCCTGCTCGCGCTCACGGTCAGTAGTCGATGGGGGGAGAAGGGGGGTGAGGGAGCAGGGAGGGGAGATGGATGGGGGAAAGGAGGGGGAAGAGGAGGAACGGGGGGGGTACATGTTATTGCCGGTTAAAAGGGTATTTTCGTCAGGCAGGGTGAAGTTAGTTTGTTCGAATGGTGGGATGTCATTCCGTTGGCGGATTAGAAAAGTCTGATTGGAGATCTCACACGATTTTGCGGGATTGGGATGTGCCAAATTGTACTCGTGACGAGCCTCACTGGGAACGAGTCCGGACTATTATCCATGCGAGGCACCTTGGTCGAATCTGTGCCAATACGCTGAGACTGACGCTATGCGGAAACGCCTTTGAATGAACAGACAGAACCAGGCCGCGCTAGTATATTGCCGCTTCGGCAGCCACATGATTGAAACTTTCTCTTCCTCTTTTGCAAGACATCAGCTTTTCTCTCACCTCTCCTTTTGATCCTTCCACACCACTTCTCACTCCCTCACATCCGTCTATGTTTCCTGCTTATCTTTCTATGCTACTTGTTTGCTTTGTACAGTTACACGCCTATCTTCCAATGTCTACGCTCTCCGCCGTGCATGATTACCCGCATTTCATATGTGTTGTGCAGTTCTTTAGCAACATGCAGGAGGCCATGGGAGCAAGATCCGGATGGGGCGTTGGTAGGTCTTTTCTCATTCTCCGCCTTGCTGTTCTGTCTGCATCCGGATGGGGCTGTCTGTCTCCCCTCTATAATTTCCCCCTGTCATCCACCATAAGTATCTAGCAATCCCCGCTTGCTGTCTCCATCACATTTTTTACCTGGATTTTCTTTTATAGAGATCTTTTAGCCTCACCCCACTTTACCCCTAACTGTCCTCCCTCGTTTGCGTCCCTGACTCTCCCCCCTGCCCGCCATCTCCTCTCAACCCCAGTATTTTTGTCGCTCTTCATTGCCACAGTCGCTGCTGCTTCAGTGCATGGAGTCTGTGCCACTACATGGTATGTTGGTGATGCCAGCAGCACCTAGCGACATGGTGATTTACTTGCATTTCTTTGGCTTTTCACCCATCGTCTAGGTGTCCAACCCAACCGGCCAGCTTCACGCCTCATTCTATCACTGATTCTGCCCCTCGTACCTGATCTGTGCCCCGGCCAGTCTGACAGCTTACATTTCCCTTTTTTTGGTTGCCATTGCCCTCCCATATCTCCTGTGCAGCATTCTCTTCTCTGCTGGCCTGCTATTTGAGGTGCAGCGGGTGTCCGTCGCTGCTTACCCCTCCGCTGATGCCAAGAAGAAGAATTGAAGGAAGTATTAAAGCTATGGAATGGAGGCAATCTGTGCATGCTACATACCAGTACCACACAAAGCTTTAAAATGGTAGTACATTATGACATCTGAATGCCACACAAAAAAAAGTGTGCAACCAGAATTAGTTGGCAAAGGAACATCAGGAAATGGTGCTATTTCTGTCCATGAGCTAATTGCTGGGCCCATAACGTAATGGATCTTGCTACGCAATTCTTGCTGCTGACTTGCAATGGCCTTGTTTTTCCCCTTCGTACCGTCAAATGTGAAAATGAGTTTTCGGACCACCCTGTACGCGCCCTAAGCTTCCCACTTAGAAGATTAGGACACGTTCCCATCATGAACGTCTTCATCGCATCATTCCTCGCTCTTCCCTTCACGCTACCTTCCGACTGACACAATATCGCAGCGAGTCGCATGCGCACCGTGGTAGTCGTCAGTCCGTCACTTTTGCGACAGGAACACGTCGCCTCAGTCAATTCAATGTCCAGCCGGACACGCTAAAAAAATTCAGCACCGACGCGATTCGGCAGCCCTCCTCCCAGCCAGGTTTGATAGACTTTAGCTGACCCGAATTTCCACCCACACCCCATCCCACCCTACCCCACCCAGTCTTTCCTAACCGCCCTCACCGCAGTCATCTTCTACTGTGAGCCTGCCTCCATCGTACATTCCAGCTGCCACTGGAATGGCGGGGTGGGGGGAAGGGAGGAGATTGGGAGGGGGTGTAGATTTTGGGAGGGAAGGGAAAACGGACTATGTAGTTGTGGGGGGGACGGCGATTCTTGAAGCTCGGATTGGCGGCAACCCATCACTCGCATCACCATCACACGGCATGGTGGTGGTACTGTAACGCCGCGCGGTGGAAGTCCTCCTGCCCGCTCGCTCCCACCATCTCCAGCTTGCCAAGTTCCCGTACTCGCTACCTCCCTGCACGCTCGCCACTTTCGCGAACCGCGCCAACGTCCTCGAGACATATACAGAGAGGATAGTGACTACCGTTTCCCGCAAAAGCTGACTGTTTACTTGGGTTCTACTGGTCCCTCACCCGTCAGCACTTCTTCCCCACACAGATAGATGCACCTAGTTGAGCCTCGTGCAACGAATATCTAATGTTCGAAGTGTAACGCATGTTAGACTGGGTAAGTTGGGTGAAGCGACGTCTACTCAGAGGCTTCGGCTGGAACCACGCTTTTCCTCTGGTGCTCTGGTTCTCCTCGTCCTCGCACTGCGGCGCGAATCAAGGACGGATCGCAGATAGCACAGCGTCACATTCGCTGCGACGACCGCTGCGCTTCTGCTTCCATCACAACTACTTGTCATAGTAGCGTCCTCGTTAGTGCATCCCCTCCACTCCGAAGCGTTTCCGCAGGCGTGTCGTCATCATTCGAGC